GTGGGGATTTAGTTAAGAAGGCAGATTAGGTGAATGAGTTTGCATTTGATCCTATAGGTGTTGGGAAGATATTTAAAGGTTTGCCAGATTTGAGCTTTAGAATCGTTAATCAGTCCAGTAAATTAATCTGGTAGATTAAACTGGTAATGACGTGTCATGTTGATTGAAGGAAGTAGACTATGGTCAGAGAGACTGAGAGAGTGCCAAGGCTGAGAATAGAGAAAGTAGAAGGCATGCACAAAAAGTGTATCCTGGCCACTTCTCTCTCACAGATCAGTAGTTTTTTTGGTCAGTATGAAAACTCTTATACCACTTAGCAGTGGGTCTATGGGTCCCAAGATCATTTTCTCTTGTCAATAATTAGAGTATATTTACTCCCCATTTGAATTGAACAGTTAATTGTGAAACATATTTTTCTTTATTTCTCGGGAAGCATTAGCAGACACCCTCTCACTGAAACAGTTCCATAAAGAAATTTTCCATTATCCACACTTTCTCTTCTGGCACAATTTTGACAGGTTCACATACTACTCCAATAAGCCCTTAGATCTTCACTCTTCTCATCTTCTTTTTATGTACTTTAAGATGGTTTAAGTAGAACTCTGTTTATGTTCTCACCTTGAGATTCTGCATATAAACTTCATTTTTCTTTAATTTTTATTTAAAATAAAAATAATATTTCATTATTATTTTTCTATCCACACTGCACTTGAATTATCCTGTACTTGAGTGTCTGTTCTGTTCTTTCAGGCCTTTACTTTCCTTATTCCTGAAAGAGCTTTTTAAATATATCATTCTGGAGTGCCTGGGTGGCTCAGTCGGTTATGCATCCAACTTCAGCTCAGGTCATAATCTCATGGTTTGTGAGTTCGAGCCCCGTGTTGGGCTCTGTGCTGACATCTCAGAGCCTAGAGCCTGCTTCAGATTCTGTGTCTCCCTCTCTTTCTGCCCCTCCCCTGCTTGTGCTCTGTCTCTCTCTGTCTCTCAAAAATAAATAAACATTTAAAAATTTTTCAAAATATCATTCTATTTTTATAAAATATTTTAGACATATGAAGGTACAAATGGGTATCTGCTCCCTCTTTTCATGTCAAGATTACTTCCATTTCTTAATATTATAAAAATAATTTACGTTTCTTATAAGTCTGAAAAATTATCCCAGATTTTGAAAAATACTTTTGCTATTATCATGACATTATATTCAAGGAAGGCCTCATCTCCTTTGCAACATACAAGTTTTCTTTCTTTCTTGCTCTTCTTCCCAACCAAGTCTCTGACTCACTTTCCTCTTTTGTTAAGAGGTTTCAAGCTCTTAGCATGCAGAGCTTCACCGTAAGTACCCTTCAATCACTCTTCTTGTAAATTGATTGTAAACACTTGGCTTCGAATATTATTTTTGGCTGTCTTCACTGTTACCTTTCTTAAATGCATTTGAAATCCCCTCTCTACACCACTCATCTCAGATATGAAAAAAAAGCCCTGCATCCTTACGTAGTTTTTCTTTTCACACTTTTCTTGTGGAGTATACACTTTCATAAATCTGTTGTTACCCTTCTCAGTTTATATCAACTCCATAATCACATATCTTTCCCCATGCCCCAGATCCAACAGACCTTGCAAACAACTAAACTGCATGTTAAATATCTGCGTATGTCTCGTACCTCTCCTGTTGACTTCTGTGAAAAACCCTTCACAAATAATACATTTCGTTGTCTGGCTTCAGTTTGTTTATGGTATCTCTACTGAATAAAATGTTCTTTCTTTCCAAGCCTAGCACAAGCTTCTAGTTTCTTTGGTTTGGGTATAAATATTACCTGCTATCAACTGAGTCCTGGCACGATTTCCTTTAATCTACCCAACAGCCCTGCATGGTAGACATCAATAATCTTGTTTCACAAATGAATGTTTTCAGAGCACACAAAGTCCCTCAGAAGAAAGAGGATGAGCAGAGTTGGAAGGCAATGCACGGAACTGGAATTAATGGGTTAAAAAAGGTAAAGAATGTCCCTAAGCTCACTCTGCTGGTGATGTCAGAACCAGTGTTAAGCTCAGTTCTGTCAGAACCAGTTTTGAGAGTATGAGCCTGCAGGGCTTAGCAAAGAGTTAGACTAGGATGAATAAAAACTTTCTGCAAGACAAGTCAGTTTCGGGCCACCTGCAAACTCTGCTTTGATAATGGCATCAAAGGCACTGGAATCTACTATTGCTGAAATTTCTGCAGTCAAGGAGGAACTAGCGTCTTTATGGACTGGTTTCATTTCTCTTGAAATGTGAGGGTTTGGCTCAGCTCCAGCATATTTGTATATCTTGGTACCTATTTTTTAAAAATCTGGTCACACTTTTACACTTTAAAATTGCAAAAGTGTCACCTCTACTTGTTATTGATGGTAAGTAACACTCATTTCAGAAGCAAAACTTTTCCTTCAACACTATTTGCCTTCTTTACCTTCTATAGAATGAAAGTTAAAGTATAACCCAGGTAATAACCCTGCAATTACTACAGAAAAAATGCCAGCCATGCTAAAATGAAACTGGGTATTTTTCACTTGGTACTATTATAGAATATATGTGTAGAATATAAAAATAATAATTTACACTCGTCCAACTTCTTTCATTCTATGTCTCAAATCCCTGAGTGTACGTGGTCTCATTAAGTTTACCAAACCAATTTAACTCTAACATGTTCTTGAACCCTCTCTCCAAATCCAGTGAGATTTATCTGTCACAAAAGCTGAACATTATCATCTGAAATTCTATGTATTCTGTAGATATGTTTGACCTTCTGCAGATAAGACTCATTTACTTAATCATCTAGTTATGATCGATAATAGGCAAAACTACCAAAAAGAAAAGAAAAATGCTACTATGTGTATATACTTAGATCTATACACACATTCACAAACACATAGGCATGGTAACTGAATTTATGTATAATTGGATTAATATGAGAATAGTTAGAAGAATGAGAATAAGTGTTTTATGTATATCTATGGCAATAAAGTCTGTTTAAAACTCTATTCATTTAGTCAGCAAATGAAATTCAAGTATTTATTGAGTACCTTAATATTCCAGGGACTAGGGAGCATACAAAGACAATTACTTACAGCAAATAAACAGATCCTCAACTAATTCCACGACAGGGTAGAATATGGTTAGCTCCATGAAGACGGGCAGTATGTATGGTTTGGCTTTGTATCCCCAGTGTCTAATATTGTGAACTGATACAAGTGATGCCAATATGTGTTTTATAAATATATAATGAAAGAAAAATGCCTGTAAGTTCTCTAAAAATTCAAAGGAAGGAGCAATTATTTCTATCTGGCATGACCCAGGGAGCGTTTCTAAACGACAAAGTAATCTGAGGGATAGGATGATGGTTAAAGGCAAGAATAACATGCTAGGCAGAGGCTAACGCATAAACACAAAGATAGAGAGGCAGGAAAGAACAAGAGAGTCATTAGGAAGAGGCAGATCATTCAGTTTGGCAGTCCAGCATAGGAAATCCATAAGGAAATTGTAGACCAAACTGAGAAGTTAGACTGAGGCCAGACTGCTAAAATCCAGAAACGCCAAGTTAAGGAATCCAGATTTTATTCTTGAAAGAAGCTCTGAATGTTTGAATTTAGATAATTATGCACCAGCTTTGCTACTTGCCAAATAGTCATTATTCTCGATCCTGATTCTGAAGCTATCGGGGGAGTCTTCAAAAGTAGTTCCTAATTATATTACCAGATGCTATCTAAGAAAGTGCTCCAGGAAGAAGCCTGCAAAGCCTAGCAGCCCCAAAGGAGAAGAGGAAGACTAAGGAATTGGGAGACACATTCCTAAAAATAATTGATGTTGGACAATTTTATCAGTTCTGAGACTGCTATTTAGATACCTGTAATCTTTAATGTGGTACTTTGAACCCAGATTGCTTAGCACTAGTCTGCAAAGACCTAACATAATACACAAGTCTTAAAAGGGAAAAAGGACTCCAAGCCTCTTCAGAGAGCTCTAATGCACCATGAAATATAGCCTTTAATGAAAGACTGATTCATAAAGCCAAGTGGTGTAGAATAGGGTTCCTGTATTCACAAAGTTCCATTCACTCACTACAAGCTCAAATGACCATGAACTATAGATAAATAAAGATATACAATACGTGCCTTAAGTAACTTACCATCAAGGTGGAAAAAAAAAACTACTCTTAAGTCCTAGATAGTTTGTACTATTTAATTTCAGTTTCTCAATTACCTCATGAATTTAATACTACTATTTCCATTTTACAATTGAGAAAGTTAAGATGAAAATGTTTTAATAATGTGCCTAAGCTAAACAAATAGCAGAGCTTGGATCCAAACCCAAATTTGTGTAACTCCAGAGTCCACGCTCCTTCTCTTGCACCATAAAGCCTTAGGGCCTAGTTCAATAGATGGGAAACACTATATTAGCTAAAATCAGGATCCTTAGCATAAGATTGATCTTGGATCCACTTTTGTTTGGCTATGTGACACTGTACCTGTTGCCATCTTTTTGTGCCTCATTTGTCTCAATTATCAAATGGGCAAATTAGCATTAAAATAACAATACCTTACAGGATTGTTGTGAGGTGTAAATAAAATAATAAAGTACTTAGAGGAATGGCAGGCACATAGAAAATGCTCACTTAAATTAGCTATTATTTGTCACAGAAACTTCATTACCACAGCAGTGATTTAGATGATTCAACCTACACCTTCTTGAGCTGAATCAGTATCCAAAGTTTTCTTTCAACTAAAAAAAAATCTAAAAAATATTGTGCAGTAGTTTATTTGAACACAAGGAATATATATACACGATAATAACGTGATAGCAAAAATCACAAGAGCTGCATTCCTTTATGGGAAGACAACTCTGGTTTTGGTAACTTTTCTGACACTGATACATTTGACTGATTAGCACTTTTTTGTATTCTGTTTCTTTCCTGACAGTACAAACATCAAGATGAAACAGTACACTTCCTTAGTTTGCAGACTTACCCAAGAATGTGTGAGATCCATATCTGTACAGGAAGACTTAAGTTGTGGGTGGTGAGTGCAGCGGGAACAGTCATTCCAGGGTCCAACTTGGGCAATTTGAAAATCAACACATGTCCGGAGAGGGTTTTTTGGAAAAGGCTTCCAGCTGTTCCACAACTGAACTTCACCTTCATTGTGGGATAACATTTCTGCCATATTGCATCCCGTAGAAGTGCTAGATCTAACCAGTGATGCAGAAATGGTATCCAATCTCCTCTCCATTTCTTTCTTTCCTCTTGGGCTAACAGTACTAATTTTCTTTTCTTGCGATTTGGTTAATTTCATACAAGAAATTAATGTTTCATCTTCATCTTCTGAATAACAAAGAAAAATCAATTAAGACTATAATATGAATGTATACTTCCTTTGATATACTAGAAATGAATGAACACCACAGGATAAACCAGGAAGTCATTTAATTTCACAAGATAATTTATAATTGCAATTCTTGAAAGAGTAATCTTTTATACAGTAAATGATTTGTTTTGTAAAAACAAATATACCTAAAAGATTTTGAAGGTGTATATAATGATTAAATACAGTCTGACTACAATGACTGAAAGCCACATGCAAATAGTATACTGAAAGATACCTGAGAAAAATTACAAATTAAAAAATTCTCCATATCATATAAATATGATATGGTGTGCTTGTATTCTTTTTTTAATGTTTATTTATTTATTTATTTTGAAAGAGGGGGAGGGGAGGGGCAGAGAGGGAGAGAGAGGATCCTGAGCAGGTTCTGCACTGTCAGTGTGGAGCCCAACATGAGGCTCGATTGCACAAGCCATGGGATCATAACCTGAGCCAAAATCAAGAGTCAGATGTTTAACCAACTGAGCCACCCAGGTGCCCCACTGCGCTTGTATTTTTAAATATTTTTTTTTAATTTTTGCAAATAATGTGTATAGAGATCATGATAAAAAAGCAAATAAAATATTCTCTTTACATAAATAAAAAATGAAATTTCAATGGACATGGGCTAAAATCCCATTGGTATTCTAATTTTTTTCTAATATCAATCTATAAAGAGATTTGTGCAAACAGTGTTTCTTACAGTGAAATACTTTGGAAAAGGAAGAATAAGACTGAGAGAACCACAAAAAGAAGGTATATCTGTAATACTATAAAGTTGATTAGTGAAACCTATATATTTACATGTGGTGAAGGGTCTGATGAAATTTGTAGTAATATATAACAATTGCAAAAAATAGAAATACATATGACCCATAGTAAATCGTACCATATCACTGAATGTCTTTTAGTTCAAATGTTTAACTAATGTAAACCAAAGATTTTGATTAATAGCTTGTAATTGTGAATAAATAAATGAACACCAAAGTTGCATGTCATGACATGCCATTTTGCTGCACTCACATCAAAATTGAAAAATACTGTTTTCCGTAGCCAAAGAATGGTAAGAACAAACAATTGGGATCCTTATTTTCTCTTTCTCCCACTTTATCACCAAGTCTTGTCTTGAAGGAAAGGCGAAATGGGGTATGAAGTAAAATTCAAGAATAGGGTAAGGATATCTGTTTCACAAATAAATTGTTAATTTAAAAACCCTCAACATTTAATGATTACTTTAAGACTTTCTCAAAATGGCCTTCATTTTATATATTCTACCCTAATTCTTTCTCAAAGAATTTTGGGCAGCATTTTTGATTTCTTACTTACCGAGGTTCACTAATGTAGGTCTTATCTCACGCAGACTCGGCACCCTGGTTTTCTTGGTCCAAATCAGTTTCTGTAGTCTCTTTAACGTCCTCATTGATTCCACTGGGTCACCGCCTGACTTTACAGCCTAGCACAAACACAGCTCAAGGTAAAAACAAATTATTCTTCACAAAAGATTAAGTATAAAATGCGTCGAGATCATAAATGTGAGAAAATTAATAATGTGACCTTAAAACCTGTAGCCTGAGACAATTGTAAGCAATAACTTGAAAGCAGACAATTTTTGTTTGTTTCAAACTTGTAAAATATATTACAACCAGCCAGTCATGCTAAAGTAGGGCATTTTTTACCTTTTTTTAACTTCAAAATGCAACAAAATGGATTGAAGCTGGAGCCCTCTATAAATGAGTTGCTGGTGCTCAATATGAATAGTGGAAAGAAACAAGGTCTTTGCAGAATAACAAAGAAGGAACAACAGGTTTAAAGTTGTTACTTGAGAGTTGCTGGACCAGACTGATGATATGCACCAAAAAAAAAAAACAAAAACAAAAACCAGAATTCAAATTTTCTTCATTTTTTTCTTTTAGAAATTTCTGGTAAAACAACATTTTATTCCAAGTATGAAGTGTTTTCAAATAATATATTTTTCTTTAAATATTGGTCATTGCCTTTTAGACACAACGAAACAGTCACAGCACTCTATGACTGTGACCTAGTATATAAGTGTCACTGGTTTATTATAGCAAAAAATATGGATAAAAGAATATTGCTTAGCCACTCAAATTTTCTTTGGAAGATACAGAAATGTTTCCCATGAGTTTAATGTGGGCAAATTTGTATTTGTACTCCTTTTACTTATTATATTTAAAATAGCTTACTCTTAACAATTTCACAATATTTTGGAAAGTAATATGTTATGTGTTAAATTTAATACTAATCGGTAAAATAGTTGTATTCTGTGATATTAATTAAATATGAAGTAATACATAGAGGAATACTTCTTTCTCATCCAGAAATTGCTGGACTCAGAAATATTTCTCTCTGCTTTTGCCTATCCTTTCCATTAAACAGCTGATAAATGACATCTAAATAGATATTGCAGTTTGCAAAAGGTGAATGACTTGCTTCTTCATTAATGTTTGAATGAGATATATTTATAATTGTGCCTTCCAATCCTTTGAGAGAAACTATAAGCCCAAAGAAAGGTTTGCAAGAAAAGGCTCTCTGGCATACAGACATTTCCAAACATTAGATTCAGCACTTATTCTTGGTCTTTAAGAAGGACTTTGAGCAGCCAGTATAAACGTGGTGTTCTGTCTCTGCATAATAGCACCTAAGTAGGAAATGTGACGTTTTGTCAGAGCAAGTCATACCTGTTTGCATTAAATAAATATAAATGGGGAAATATTGAAATCATTTTAATCTTTCAGAGAGGCCTGGGATGAGATTTTCTTAGATATGCAGAATCTCCCTTTTCTTTCCAAAGGTCATGCTCAGCTCAACGCAATTTCTATTGCTATTTACTTTTGTATCATTTTCTCCTGTATTCCTCGTCAGTATTTTCTGAGTTACTCAGTTGTACAGGACCTGTAACTCAAGAAGAGTCATTCTTTAATCTTTAGACCCTTCTAGAAATAATAAGCTGACATTGCACAACCATTGAGCACGATGATTTTCTTTCTTGTACTTCTTTTGTTTATAGCAACCTCCTCCTATGCCAGCCAATGCTTAAATTGCTTCACTAAAACACTAGCATCAAAAATAGCCTTCTCCCTCCCCCTTCTTTGTGAAAACAACTTTCACTTGATATGGGGAAAGGTGTTATATACCAGGGTAACTGAATTCCATATGAATGATTTGCCCCTAGGAGGAAGAGAAGCATTTGTATAGTGTCTAAATTCATATAAGTGAGATCTCATGGCCCAGATGTGTTATGTTAAAACAAATTGACCTCTCATTATTTTGTTCAAACTGTGTTATAGCCTTTTTAAAGCACAGTCTTGTTAACTTTGGTATCTTTAATCACTCACAGATCTTTTGAGTTAATAGAGATCAGTCTATTGCATTTTATTCATTTTTGAATTCCATATGTCTAGGATAATACATGACCTGATAAATGTTTGCTAAATGTAAATATACTCTTGAGTTCATACATATGTTTTACCTACCAAATGGATTATCCACAGTAAATTTTTTACACAAGACTGGCTACTTTCTAATAGCAAAGTATTTCCAAAAAGCTTTCTCTTTCTATTAGGAAGTACATAGCTGAGTGATGAAAGTTACAGTAAATATTATGATAAGAGATGTAGAATCATCTCTATTATCTATTAAAAAGAAGCTCTTTAGAATATTTTCAAAATTATAATGTTACTCACAGTAAGTCTCCTAATCTGTTACCTATATATTTGTGTTAAATTTGATTAAAACTTATAATAATGTGCCTTTTAATTCCCAGATGTTTTCTAAGAAGATTGGTTCGTAAATTGAACTTACCATTCAACCAATCAATAAAAGTTTATTGAGCACCTAAGATATGCCAACATTATCATGCATTCTGGAGATACAGCATTGAACATGTGAAATGAGATCCCTGCTTTCATACAATCTACATTCTAGAAGGAGATGACATACCATAGACAAATAAAAAAAGAAAGTGTGACATATGCTATGCTGAGAACAGCATGACTGAGTGTAGATGGGGGGAGGGTTACTAATTTACATTGGGTGATGGGGGGGTGTTCACTAAACCTGAGGCCTGAACCTCAGTTCAGATGTGAAGATTTGGAGATGGTTTCGAATTCAGTGGATAGTCAGGGAGGATACTTCCAGGCCTATGTTTTAAATGACAGAGAAGGGTCAGCCAGGCAAATAGCAGAGGGAAGAGAATTCCTGCAAGACTTGTGCAAAAGTTCAACAGCTGAAATTCCAGGAAGAATTCCTAGCATATGCCCTAAGGAATAGAAAGGGGGGAAGAAGGTCGTAAGATGAGCCAGAGACTTGATGAGGGGCCCTCAAGGAGGCCTTTGTAGAACAGGCTGAAGAACATGTATTTTGTTCTAATCAGGCTAGTGACATACTTGGTTTACTTTTTTTTTTTTAATTTTTTTTTTTTTTTATTTCTGAGATAGAGAAAGCATGAACAGGGGAGGGTCAGAGAGAGAGGAAAACACAGAATCCAAAACAGGCTCCAGGCTCTGAGCTAGTTGTCAGCACAGAGCCCGATGCGGGGCTCGAACCCACGAACCGTGAGATCATGACCTGAGCCGAAGTCGGACGCTTAACCGACTGAGCCACCCAGGTGCCCCGTTGGTTTACATTTTTATTCATCTTCCTTTTTTATTGAATTGTGATCATCTTACTTTTTAAAAGACTTTTCCCAAAAGCATTCCAATATGCTCTGATCTTATCCATCTTTAATTTGCCATATTTTATTTAACACCCTTTCTGCTCCTTTTCCCATGCCTGCTTCTCTGAAAAGTCAATTGTGCTTACTTCCTCTAATTCCTTTCATTTCTCATCTTTTCAACTCACCTCATGTACTCAGCAATCAGCTTGTGCATCTGCTATTTCATTTAGATTGTCTTTGTTTTCCAATGAACCATTCTCAAACTGTGTCACTGTTTGATATTCA